GGGACTTGCGGGCTGTGGCGCGCGGCTGGGGGGCCTGGCAGAGGATGCTCGGCTTTTTTTATTGCGGAAGGCTTTGCCTTCGGAGGTCAGAACCCGGTTGTTGCTTATAAACGCATTATATATGCTATTTAGGAAAGTAGTTCTGTTATAAAATAAGTTAAAAATATATTAAGAAAAGACAATCGCCCCCCAATTACTAGTTGTTAGCATCTGAGAAGTGAATCTTGTTTTATGCAGCTTAATCTTTCTTATCTTTTGAAACTTAGAAATAGCAAACCGTAATGTTCCTATAGATCAAATAAAAAGCTTAGCTCAATGTAAACTAATAAAGTCACAACTGCACTTATGCATGACATGCATTTTGAAAGATGCCTTTATTTGGGGATTTTATGTCCTGAAATGTTTTTATTAATTTATTATTTTCTCCTGTCCTAGCTAGTTGCAGATACTGGCAATATATAAGCTCCTCATTTTTAGATACTGTGAGTACATTCCTAAGGTATCGTAACCTTGCCTATGCAGCCATACAGCAGGATTTGTTCAAGGAATTAATATTTAATAGTAACATTAAAACTAGTTAGTCACTGGTTATTGCATGAGGAGTCTGCTAGGGGATATAGTCATCACTAGTAGGCTGTGACTGTTGGATCAACCGGGAGACCTCTCTGGATTTTCTCACAGGAATGACAGAAGCAAGAGGAGGGCTAGATGAATTATTCCGCTGTGCTACAGTTTATGCGCCGCAGGCTGGGAATTTATCTTTGTACAGATTATTTACATGCTCCTAAACCCTTTGTTGCAGCAAGAGGTGATACATATTAAATATTTAATGTGGTTTACAAAAAATATAAACATTGTAATTCATGTAAGAAGGATTTGAAAGATTTATTGTCATTTAGAAAATTTGAATTATTTACAAAACATGGCGCAAATACTCCCATTTCAAAAAATTATGGAGATGCTTGTATACAAGTAGAAAACTAGTATTTACATTGTTGCTGCTTATACATAATGTATTAATGAAAATTTAAAATATTTTTTCCTTTCATTTTCTGCAAGTTTTGAACATAGTCTTGCAATATGTTTTTCTATTCCTTAACAGGTTTTTCTTCTCCAGGGATAAAGCCATGGCTGAAATGAGTGATAGCAACTTAGATAAAACAACCATTATTCAGCAAGCAATAGCCTCTTGTTGTGGATTTATAATTACATCGTTATTTGGTAAGGCAAACTATCAAGCTTGCCACAGAGAGAATCTTTGCAAAGTGATTACTCTTCAGTTTGACTCAGCATGATGTCTGCATATATATGGTTTATAAATTTCCACTAATATGTTCAACAAGGATGTTTTGGGATAGTTTTCTCGTAATTTTTTGTATTTTAACAAATGTGGTTAATTAAAATCTTTCCCTTCCCTGAAAATCTTTAACCATTTCTGAAAATAAGAATAATTTTTAACTTTGCATTTCTATGTCTTTTTTCCTCTAGGTGTAGTAGTTCATTGCTTGCTTTCTGCAAGAAACAAAATTAATAATAAAAATCAATTTCCATACTTCCTGCTGCTTAAAAATAGATTTTTAAATAGAAGTCTGCTTTACAGTGCAAGACACAAATCCTGCAAGGCTGGCCCCTGTGAGGTGTCCCCTTCATGTTACCACTTCAGTAGTAACATTAATTTATTCTGCTGTGATGTCTTACACTGTCAAAGCCTTTTATTGGGGGGGGGGGTGGCCCCCAAAAATTTCTTTTGGGGGTTGTTTTTTAACCTTTTAAACTTCTGGATAGTCTGTGGAATTCATCTTCTGCTTCATATTCAGTCATCTCGCTCAGGACCTCCTTCCCCATGTGTACCTAAGGAGGCGTTGGTTGGTTACATTCAGCACTTCCTATTCCTTGCAGCTCTCCAAGCTCATTAGCTTATACTTTGCATTTTAGTTACTTTTTGGCTTAAGCTAGCCTTTGGTTCTGACTTTTAACATGGATTACGCTACAGGGAAATGTGCAGTTTTCCAAGCACGATTTTTCCCCCACAAAATTTCCAAATTTTTACAAAATAGGATCTTACCAGGAACCTGTAAAATTCATAGTCTTTTTAGTCTGTCTTTATATCATGTGTCCTGTGATGTTAGGTAAAGTAGCAAGCAAAGCTACATCAATCTGTGGAATTCCCAAGATGGATTCCAACTGTGTGTACATAAGATTCTAGTACAGCGTAAGGTGTTGGTATTTGAGACCTCAAGAGGTATAGGAGACCGGCTCCTTTCTGAATTGGCAGCTGGGAGACGAGGCAGAATATGTGTGAGTGGCTAAAATGCTACTAGATGCCAAATTTTAAGCAACTGAGCTGCAGGAGTCACATTTAGATCCCTACATTTGGATATGGAAATGTGAGCCAAGTATTCAACCTCCTGTTAGTCAACTGAGAGGCATCAGTAGAGCTAAGGTGTGACTCAGTTGCCTGTGCATAGGAATGTGTTCAGTGAGACGCATGCTAGAGTATTGACTTAGCCTCTAGCTGCTGCTTAGTAAAGTTGTAGGTCCTGTGTCATTTCTGCCAACTGTGTAGGTATTTTGGATACCTTAGAGACTCAGATGGCACTAGCTGCTTGTATGTAGGCAACTGAATCGTGCCCTCAGTCAATATAATCAGTAGAGGCTGGTCCAGCTGACCAGCCACTGTAGTGTTCAGCATGTCTAGGCCTGTAATAATTGTAAGGGGTAGAGGGGAAGCAATGAAATGTTCACTAAACTTTCAGTTACTTTTCAACAGCTCTAAAGATTTAGATCTTGTCTACACGCAGCAAAGAAGGAAAGTACATCATGAGTTTAACGTTTTTCTTTTGAATGTTGCTATTATGGTCAGTTTATTGAAAAAGAATAAACACATGAAAAATACTGTAATATTTTACATGCTTGAGGCCAAAATCTGATCTCATATGCCTTGTGGTATACCACTTGTAAAAGGTTAGCAGCAGAGCATAATAGCACAAGTTTTAGCACTTTCAGACAAGATGACACAATGGTTTTTGGATGAGCTTTGTGTATCTCTAATATTTGTTGTCTGTGCAACTGTTAGTAAATTAGAAAAGATACATATGGTCACTTGCAAACGATACAGGTTTTGTAGTTCTCCTTTTTTCCTCTGTCTGATTACGTTGTAAAACAGGTCTTTTTTTTTCCCTCTGGGGAAAAAAAAAAGTCGTAGAAGTTCATGGTGAGGCATCTGTACACTTCTACATTTTTAGGGCATGCAGGGTGTTTCTAAATGACTTATTTGTTTCATTTTAGTAACTCCTCTTGATGTTATCAAAACTCGACTGCAAGCTCAAAGCAATCCTTTCCCCAAAGGTAAATAAATGTGTAGTGTAATGGAGGACACAGTTTGCTTTTTGCTGTTGCCTTTAGCTGATAGTTATCATAATGCTGAGCTACAGAATGTTTTCCTTTGTTTCTCAGTAATGATGTTTGTTTCTTCAGCGTGGGGGGGGGGGGGGGAAAGCAACACAGCAATATATACTGAAATTGCTAAAGAAAGAAAGTGCCAGTGAATAGACACAGTGGAAAAAAACCCATAAATACATACCATTTTAAATAGGCTTTTTTCTGTCTTCCTTAGTATTTTCATTGTGGCAGAAGGTACAACTATTATTGGGCTGAGTTTAAGAAAAAAAAAGCTATTAATAAATAACTAAATATTTCCTCAGAGGGCTTATGTGATCAAAGTTCATCTCCTCCAGAATCCAAAGACTTTTTCAAAAGAGTGGTAAGTCTTACCTAAGTCACTTGTCACTTGGGTTCTAAGTAGATGAAGACATTGTGCACTCAAAGATATGCCAATGAGTCCTACTATTTAGTTGTAATTAATAAATGAGATTTAAAAGGAAATGAGATGACTGGTGTGGAAGTTCCATGTTGTATGTGGAGATGAATATTTGCAGTCACACTTGCTGTAAATCAGGAAAAATACTTGTGCCTTCTATCCTGGTTTTTTAGCAAATTCTAAACCCTTCAGAAATCTGAAAATGTGAAGCTCAAAGTATGTTTTTATAATGGCAATAATATTTTATCAAACAGGTTCAAAGTACATGATGTAGAAGAAATCAAAAACAAGTAGAGGATGTTCTAGTATAAATACAGTCTAACCTAAGAGATAATACCTTCACTTGTAATGTGGATGCTGAGGCTACTTAATAAAAGATTTAAAAGTGAAAGATGTTCACATAGTTACATACAATAGTGACATTCAGGTCCTGTGTTGTTTTTAGCCTTCAACAGATGGTAGTATTGCATAAACATATCTCCTGGAGCCTGTGAGGGCAGTTTCATTTAGTCTGGCACTCTGAGGAGTACATTTGTTCCCTCTTTCCTTTTACCTATTTTGTTGCCATTGACTTACCAAGATTATTTTGCTCCTTTTTGTCTAACCAGAGATAAATCTATGTTGCCATTATATCCATTTTGAAATTGCTGCTGAGTAAGAACAATCTTACAAGCATTAACTATATTCTTATACACCATTTTATTAGGAAAGTGTTTTGTATACTCGAATGGCCTTATGGATCATATATGTGTTTGTGAGAATGGGGACAGCAAAGCCTGGTATAAAAAACCTGGGCATTTCAAAGGGACATTGGTAAGAACATTTTATATTTATATAAAACTGTACATTGAAAACATTTTAAAATGGCATACTGTAAATTTATTGGGTTTTTTTAAGTTCTGGTAGAATCTGTTATCATTTGAGAGGGTGTTCATGTGATTACACTGTGTAATTTATATGGTGATTAATGATACCTTCTACTTTCTACAAGAAAATATGTATCCTTCCTTTAAGACAAACAAGGGGGCAGCTGCAACCGCTTTCCTTACAGGATACTGGCTCTATGGTTTTATTTTCCCCACTTGAGCTATATTAGCAATAGTTGCTGATTGCAGGTACTGATTTTCTGTACCTCCTTACCTCTGTTCAGTCCACAGATCTCCCAGTATGCTCCTGAGCTGAACTAACAATGCAGATAGTGTTTTAAAATTAAGTTCATGTGTCAGGTTCTGGATCCACTGAAACTTGTAGGACTGGTGTTTTACCCAGACATTTGAAGCAGACTTGCTGTCGGACACTGATGCTGCTTCGTTAATCAAGATTTTGTTTAACTCTGCCATTAACTTACACATGTGATCAAGGATTTTTCAGAATTAAACTTTTGAGAAGAATGAAATGCCCATGCAAGAGGTTTCTTGAGCAGTTTTACAGTGTTACTTTTTAAAAAAATTAATAACTTCATAAGTTTGAATTTTTCAATTAACTTTACCATAACATTTCTAGAAAGTCACTTAGTTTTCTAACTGACATGATTTTATGCCCATTTTTGCTGTGACAAGGTAATTCATGAAGAAGAATGACTATCATATGAGTGAATCTCCTTTCATTTGAATGACTATCATATCATTGAATCTCCTTTCATTTTTAAAAAAAAACCAGTGCTGGAAATTGTGCAGTAAAAAAAATTGTAGTGGACATGATAGGTTGCCAGTGATAGGACTGTACACGTTTTGCGGTATTTGTCCATATAATTAGGTATATAAATATGCTGCTCAGTCACTGGATTTAGTTACGTCCTTTCTCCAGTCTTTTATCTGTACCTTCCTGGATTGTAAATTTGCTGAAGCTGGATTTGTAAACATATAAACTAACTAGTACAGAATATATTTGGAGAAAACATAAAATACTAGCATGCCATTTTCTGTCTTTTTTTTTTCCTCTTAAGTGTCTTTTTTGTCAAATTGTGTTAGGACCTTTTAGGGTTTCTTGACTCCCTCTCAAAGCTCTATTTTTTCAAGTCAGGCTTGTTTTAATAAATCATGTCTCTGTTTTCGCCAACTTTTTACCTCAGTGGATCTGTCCATCAAGGCTGCCTACTCTAAAGCTATTTGCCTTTTTCTTCCTGTGAGTCCTCTTTGTGGTTTGTCAGGCTCTGTATCTTTTGAGGCCATGTGATAATGTCTGGTCTTGAGCATATTCTAATCCATCAAATCTCAACCTCGTCCCCCAAATGTTTAAGAAAATTAGGTATCCTAATATTAGGGAGTTTGTCTTTTTGATGGTGATTTCAGCTGAATGACCTTCAAGGTTTAGTGTTCCTCTGCAGTCAGTGGTCAGGGAAATGTATGTGACAGCTGTGATATTAATTGTAAGCTTCCAGGTATATAGTATAGTGTATATACATTGCACATTTGTTGTCACATTGTTGTCAGAGAAAGCAAGTATTCAAGAATTGTTGAGACTTAATTGCTATTTCATGCCTAGAATGTTTGTATGTATTATAAAAATATTTTAGTGGATTATTTTGGGGAAGTTTCCACAAGTTACTACTGTGCTGTATTAGTTCTAAAAATAACTTACTCACAGGGCTGTCAGTTACTGATAGAAATTTACTGCTTTGGTCTTTTAAAGATGGAAGGAAATTCTTAAATTCAATCACACAAATATTTCTCTTCAGCTCAGTGGAACTATTTGTGTTATTAAATATGACAGCTAGCGTAAGCAATTACAAAATTGGGATCTTACAATGATAAAGCATTTTAGAAACATAATTTTTAACACATTGATTTTGTGTTCTGCCAGCTAAAATATATTACTGAGTACAAAAGTTTGTAGCTAATTATTGCTCTTTGCCTGGTTGTATTTTTAGGATGCATTTGTGAAAATTATTCAAATAGAGGGAATTAAATCACTGTGGAGTGGACTTCCCCCAACACTGTAAGTTGAACGTTCTTTTTTTGGTAACATTATGAATTCTCGTTAAAAAATTACTTCATTATTTAGACAAATTAGTATGTTTATTTCTAAGTGATTTTAAAAATTTGGTAAATTCTGAAGTTACAGATAATGATGTAATCAGTTTGATCAGAAACATCTAGAGACAGTACAAGTTTTGCCAGATCTTGAGATTTCTCCTTGCAACTTCTTTGATATATTCTCAGTAGTTAAGCAGGAACATCAGACTTTTCATTCTGCCTTTCAGAGGTTGTATCCTTACTGTAACTGTCCCCTTGATAGCATCATCGAATCATGGGGTTGAATGTGATTGTTAGAGTGCTAGTCTTTGATAGCTATTTGCTATCCTAGCTTGTTACTAATGACTTGCAATAAGCAACACAGCTGTTTCCACAGACACTCTAGTGTTGCACCTCATTACCCTTACTTAAATGTTTTTTAAACATCTAACTAGAATCTTCTTTATTCCGAAGAACTTTATTGGTTTTTATCCTATCCAACTTTGCCATGGAAAACAGATCATTCATTTTCTCTCTACAAGACGAATTTACATATTTAAACACTGTTATCGGACCTCCTCCTTGTCTTCTCTTTAGGTTAAACAGCACCAAAGTGTTTTATCTTTTTATTCATATTAACCTGGTACAGATAGTAATTAAGACCTCTATAATTATGTCCTCCTCCATAAACAATCCAATAAAGTGGTCAAATCTAACATGTATGTTAAAGTTGTATCTTGTAAGACATGAAGTGTTGCCCAGTGGGAAAGCACTGGTACACTTTTGATTTGCACACAGTGCTCGGTATATAGGCAGAAAAAAGCAAAGCATGGTGGAGCTCAGGCCTTGTTACTCATCCTGCAGCATGTGGCCATTTCAATATATAAACCTTTAGGACCTAACTTAACTAAGAGGTCTGTATTTCAGCCAAGACAGTTTTTTCTTCAACGTATGTTCTCTAGTCCAGCAGAGAAGAACCAGCTTCTTGACTGGAGAGAGGTACGCAGTTTTTGAAAGAAGATCTAAACTATGGCTTGTTGGTTTTCCAAGCGTGACAGTCTTCGCTGTTTTTTGGTAATGGTGGTATGTGCTATACTGGCACAGACAAAACACAGAAATATAATTGCCATTTTATAGTAAGATATGGTGCTTTACCCCTACACTGAATGATTATAGATCTAGCTGTTTTTGCTATAGTCTGTACTATGCTGGAATGGAAAAAGCTTATATTTACTCACTCCACATTGTCTTTCAAGTAATGAGAATCATAAGTGTTGATTAAGATAGAGAAAATACTCTCCAGTTGTTAAATGAATAAAAAATTAAGGTTAGCAGCTACTTTCATAATGTTTTGTTTGTTTGCTTCATATTCAGATCTTTCAATTCCATTATCAAAACAGTTCTGAAGCTGATATGAAATAAAGTTTGACTGAGATAATCCACCATCATTTTAGTTATAGTTTTTCCTAATGGAATGAAAAACTGGAAAACTGGGAAATCTGTGAATATGAAACTCTGAACTAGAGGCAGTGAATCAAAGCCATGGGATTAATGCTTTTTCTTCATCCATAATGCACAGCTGGAGATTTAACTTTTCCTTATTTAAGCAAACTATCCATACAAGATGGCCGACTTTATGCTCCTGCTTTCCTTGTATTAATTTAGATTCTCTCTCTTGTATTTTAGAATAATGGCACTTCCTACCACAGTAATCTATTTTACCTGCTATGACCAACTGAGTGAAGCTCTGAAATCTAGACTAGGAAAGGATGATGAACATATTCCAGTTCTTGCAGGTTCCTTAAGCAGATGTAAGTTGTCATCTGTTTAAAGAGAAAACTGAAATAAAATACCTGATGCTGTTTTCTTGGCTTTGTTTTGTTGTTTTGTTTTTAAAGTAAATTTGCTGTGGCTTTAAATGAGGGATAATATTACGTGGAGCTGAGCATAGGAAGGAATACTGTAATTACCCAGTATTTCTTGGGCAACGTAACCCTCTAACCTGGAATAATGTGATTTATTTCTGCTGTTACACTTTCACTACATTTGTAATTTGTTCAAAATTCTATAGTTCTAGACTTCTACCAAGGACAGTTTAGTTTAAGTCTGTTCTGTCATGAATCTAATAATAAACATCATTATTTTCTATAATGGAAGTTACACAGGTAATTACAAGGAAGATGAAAATTGGACTTGTACTGGTTTTACTGCTGTATGATATAAAGGGACTGAATTTGCTTTTATGTCTTCTTACTTTTGTTTATCCCTTCCTCATCTATTTTTGTAGAAGTAGCTCAGGTCATATATTTTTGGGCTGTCATAGAAGACTGAGGATGTAGTTCCATATTCTACTTGTGACAGCTATGAGGGGGACTAGAAGACTAGTGGAAAAAGAATTGTTATTCTGTGGTGATGTGGCAAATTGTTCTTATTAGGCTGCTCCAGATTTTAAATTCACATACCAAAGAAACCTTATCCCAGCAACAGGAGAAAAGTTCTTGGGTCTAGTAAAATCATTGAAGTCTGTTACGTGTGTGATGGGAGCTTGTTAGTGAGTGGTGACTCACTGATCTTTGCATGAGATGCAAGAGAGTTACTTTATCAGATACAGAATGCCTGCTAAATATTCTTGATAGTTTAAAATAAGAATGGCAAAGGTGCTTAGAAATCTATAAATGCTTAATCTCTAACCATCATTTTTAATCCTTAACAAAAAAAAAACCCAAACCCCAAGCTCACTTTCTTCAAGTTACACTTAAAAATGGTAATTATTGAAAGTAATCTTTATACGTACTTGAGATTTTCAGCCTATTTATGTAACAAATCTGAAAATGAGGATTCTTAACATGTTACATGGATTATAACATGCCAGTATTGAAAAAATGTAGGTAGCTTGTGTGCCCAGAAAGTTTAGGTACTGTGAATAGATATGGTATTCTTATCTGGAAAGGAAACTTATTTGGGGAATTATTTCAAGGAAAATGGAAGAGTTGAAAGGAATCAAATATATAAAGCAAGATGACACCTGACTTTAATGTTCAGGAAGTGTTACTAGTAAATGTTGATTTTTAAAAAAAGCTCACATTTTTCTCATTTGCAGTTGGTTCAGTTACTGTAGTGAGCCCCCTGGAGCTGATCAGAACTCGAATGCAGTATCGCAAGTTGTCCTACAAGCAACTGTACACGTGCGTCAGCAGTAAAGTGGCTGTAGATGGATGGTTTTCCCTGTGGAGGGGCTGGACTTCTACTGTTCTGAGAGATGTACCTTTCTCAGGTAGGGTTTATTTTATGTGCAAGTTTGTGTTATGTCAGAAGATCTGTTTATGTGTAGCTTTGTTAGACTTTGTGTTTCTAGGTGATTTTAATGGTTAGCTTTAAAAATGACTGAGATTTACTTGTTCTCTTTTGTGTGGTTTTATTTATAAATTTTTTGAAGACCTGATTTTTTCCCCTCATTTTGTTTGTGGATACCAGCTAGGATTCATTGTTACATTCCCTTTCTCTGTATTTAGACTGTTTTCTTCTCGTCTTTAGCTTATGCAATGACTATTTTTGAAGACTTTCAGTAGGAAATTTTCTTTGTGATAGGTATAGTGGCTATTTCCTTACAGGGAAACATGCTGTATCTAAGTGTTCTGATGCTTAAGTTTGAAAACATGTACAAAGAGAGAGTGACACAGTGTCTTCAGGAATTTTTGTTAGCAAGATGAGTTTGTATAACTGCTCCAAAAACCATGAAGCTAGAGTACCACTCATTAGCAAAGCTCCAAAGCTGAAAGTCCAGAAGAAGAAAAGTCTGATACAGAGCATAGCTAGTCCTAGGACTATTCTTTAAGAAAACAAGGACAGAGGAGATCATGCTTTCTCCCTTTTTGTCACACCTCTGCTATGTTTTGAGCTAGAGGTAATTGGATGAGACTGCTAAAGGACAGTTTTCCCACTTGTTAATGCCAGTGGTGAGAGCCCCTGTCTCTTGGAGGCCCATTGTTGTCACAACGTGTTCTTTAGCACTTGTGGATCATGAGACACCAATTGTCCTTGAAGCAGTTTCTGTCCTTTGGATAGTACCGGGAATAACACCTTTGAACACCTCACGTTGGCCCAGAAAAATGCTTAAAACCTATTTTTGGAGGCAGGGAACCCTTGAAATATTTGACCTCCTATCTTTGTTCTCCTACTTCATTCTTAAGATAATCTGACATCTAATTTAATTTGTGGTTCCAAACAGTCTAGTGACTCTTACGGGATTTGAGCACATTTAGATGTGCACCTGGAGTAAATTTTAAATTGGCTGTGAACCAAACCAATGCATGGTAAGTGGGAGTGATTAAGATATTTAGTTAAAAATTGCATTTAGTAGTTAAATGAGTTAACAGAACTGAGTTATTTCAGCTGTTTTCTTTTCAGAATGAATAATAATCTGTTTTCTTTCACTTTGCTACTAGTAGATGTTTGAAGAACGTGGTTGGACTGTATTTCCTGCTTAAGGATCCTGTTCCTTGCTGGGACTTAATTTAGCCTTCTGTGATAGGGAAGGCTTCTGAACCTATGGCAACGTGCTTTCTCTAAGGCTAAAGATAACTGGCAGAATTCATCTGAACCTTTTGCCCGAAGTGCTCCCGTTCAATATTTATTTTTTAATTTACTCATTTTTCTCTCTGCCAAATGCATCTTTCTCTTAGGCTGTTCTGCTAAGCCTTGTAAGGGAACTCTAAAATTCTTCATCTAATTCCTGTTGTCTGATTCCAAGTAGAAACTCTTGTTCTCTTACTGATTTTTGTCTGTAGCAATGTGGCAGGAGCTAGTGATCTTCCTCCCCTCTTCTTGGTTCTCTTGGAATTAAATTTTACACTCTGTCCCCCAGATGAGTATGAGGCAGTCCTGAGCAACACGTTTTTGTAGAATTAGTGAGATCTATGAAGTGTGTGAAATATGCCTGAAAACATAGCAAATAATTAGAAGCCTACATTTTGATTTCTGTGAAATTGAATTTTAAAAAATCAGTTATGTGAGTTTTGTAGTGCTTGGATGTCCTGGTTTTGGCTGGGATAGAGTTAATTTTCTTCCTAGTAGCTGGTATAGTGCTGTGTTATTGATTTAACATGAGAATAATGTGATAACACGCTGACTTTTTAGTTGTTGCTAAGCAGTGTTTGTACTAAGTCGAAGACTTTTCAGCTTCCCATACTCTGCCAGCGAGGAGGTGCACAAGAAGCTGGGATGGGGCACAGCCAGGACAGCTGACCCAAACTGGCCAAAGGGAGATTACATACCATACGTCTTAATGCTCAGTATATAATCTTGGGGTGGTTTGCGGGGGGGCAGCGAGCGCTGCTTGGGGATTGACTGGGCATCGGTTGGCAGGTAGTGAGTGGTTGCAGAATTTTTTTTTTTCTTTCCCTGGGTTTTTGTTTTTCTCTCTGTCTCTCTTGTTTTACTTTCCATTACAATTTATTATT